GAAAGAAATTGACTTAATACTTGGAAACATCATGGAAGTTCACTGTGGGGATGAAGCATGTACCTATGGAAACTCGTCCTATACTGAGTTTAGTCCGACTTCAACGGCAGCATGCGTTTGTTTCGCAAAAATGATTGATTTGAAAAATATTTCCTAAAAATAATAGCTTGTATCGTTTACAAAAATGAACGAACGAAAAATAATTTTATTATTCATGAAAATGTTAAGATATAAGCTTTTGTCGATGGTAAAATATTTTTCATCGACTAATTATTTCAAGTAATAATTTTTCAAAAAAGTGCTTTTCAAATTATTTTTTTCCTCGAAAAAAATGGAACCTTAACTTTATATCCGCGATGGAGAAGCGAACCCCATATGAGGTTTACCCCATGTGAAGCACTTATTATTGCTAGGTACATTGGTTACGTTTGGTGCGGACTTTGAGAAAAGTTTTTAGGGAAAATGCAAAGATTTTAGGTTAAATGAATTTTTCGAAAGTGCCTTGCGCTTTCTACTCCATTTTTCACTAATACGCTCCCTACCAAATGTTTTGACCATTATATACTTTGTGGGTCCACATTTTTGGCATCCAAAGATTTCTAGGTAAAATGCGGTGCCCCTCCTTTTATTTAGTTTTCTCCTTTTCTTTTTCCTTGCGGTTCCACTTCTTCTTACTTCTCTTTGTTCTCTCTGCGTGCATTTCACAGACGTTTTCCTAGATGAGAAGGGAAATTTTTCGAGCATTTCTTTAGAACCGGATATCGTGCATGTAATAATAACTTACTGGCAAAACAATACGGCCGACCAAGCTCGCTCTTATGCAAAGATGGGAAGGAAGTGAGTAAGCATACATCTAGGCACACTCGACTTCGCATGAAGCAACAGTTAGAGAGGACAAAATCCATATGAAACAGTTAAAATATTAGCTCATGAGGGTTGATGCTTAAGCTTATTTATGGCTCAAGTAATTGTCGATGAGAAGGATTGAGGCAGACTTCTATTGTTGAAATCAGGACAATGCTAAATGCTTGACCAGGAAAGAAACCAATTGGCAAACTATTACTCAGGCAACCAAAAGAATTACTAGGGCCCAGTGGAATGCTCCAAAAATTTGCTGATAAAGTGTTAGTTTGCTGATAGCAAAGACTTATGATCTTGGTTTCAAGTTCCCCCTCCAGCCTTTGTATCCTTTAGGTAACGATCAACAATGAATTACAGAGCGGAAATTCCTAAACAATGACCCCAATCCTCGACCCCTCGTGCGGTTCCTCCATGTGCATCAACTCCACGTTTAACACCTTCCTGAAGCATGCCGAGTCCTTCTAGCTCCTCAGCTGAGCCATCACGACACCATCTCCTCCTCCTCTCGCTCCCTTCAAATAGCCATCGCAGCATCTCCGATAGCGGCTTGTACAAGTAATCCTAGTACGTGACAGTGTGCCACGTTAGATAGCCGGTGATTTCCAATAGAAATTGATCATAAGGGCTAAATTAGAATTTGGCGCAAAGGCTTAGGACTAATTTGGCAAAATTAAAAAGTTTAGGAATAAATTAACATCCGTACAGTAAGTTTATGATTGATTTGATAATTTTCCCAACTTGCTACCGATGCTAAGGTAGATGTGCCAAAATAGGTCATAAAACACTTTTTAACTCAAACAACTATGTACCCGCGACATGCGGACTCGTATGTATGTACTTTTTTAGAGATAACCTTTTAAATAGAGATTATTATATTAAAGTAGTAACCATCATAATAGAAGTTTATGAGCTTGTAGTCGGTTGCTCTCCTGCCTTTGTGTTGTCCATAAAGTTCTGCAATATAGAGAGAATAAGATTCATGAAGTTTTGCAATTGTATTTTAATTTCTATAATAGTAATGACATTCATAACAACGTAAGATATATAGCTTACATAACATTACTACAAATTTAGCACCAATGTATTCCATGGTTGTCGTAACGGTAATGTTGTACTTAAGAACACAACTTCTACGAACAGAAGTAGAAGGAAAATCGGGGACTACACAAAATGTCAAGTATTGTCAAGATTTTTCTTTTCATTTTTCACGTTCGGAAGCTTTCAGGCTCTGCAAATCCTGGAGAAAAAGATCTCACAAAAGAATCTGGCCTCATTCCACCATTTCTTCACCTTCAGCATGGGGGAAAATAGAGCAAGTCGCTGTTGGAATTTGGACGGAATTGAATAGTGGACTGGAAGTACTAGGTTCCATGCACGTGCTTCGCCATCGCTCCCTGTACTGAACTTCCATGATGTTTCCGAACAAAGGAAGTCCAACTAGCCCAGAGAAAAAAACTTACGTATGCGATCGCATCAGTCGTGGAGATGGCGGCAACACCACCCCCCGCCACGTGCTTCAGAACACGGAGTGAGGATCAAACTCTTTCTTCCCTGTCAAAATTCAATTACGATTCGTTCCTCAAGTCCTTCGTTCGACCATCCTTTGCACCAGCATTCATCACCTTCCTGAGCCTTTATAAATACCAATCCAAACCTGCACTCTTCAGCTCAAACGCATCCCGAGAAACAACATCTGACTTCGCTTATCCCGTCACATCTTCCCAAGTTTTATCGACCATCGGTTGTTTTCCGTTTCCCACCTCAAAATGGCGAGAAACACCGAGAGTTGCTTCACTGTTGCCTGCCTTCTCTGGCTTCTGGTGCTATTCATTGGCTCGTCGCTTCTTGAGTTGGAAGCTCGACCTCTAAGCAATGTTGCCGCAGATTCCGTTTCCAGCAACGCCGTGGCGAATGGGATTGAAGCATTGATTGAGGGGCTGTACGTCGAGGCGATCAAGGCCGGAGGAGGGCCCAGCCCCGGAGGGAAGGGCCATGGTTCCCCCCGCGTCGCCTTCAAGAACTCCGGTCCCAGCCCCGGAGGGAAGGGCCATGCTTACCCCAGCGTCGCCTTCAAGAACTCCGGTCCCAGCCCCGGCAATGGCCACTGATTTAAAGCGGTTTCAGTGCCGGAGAGAGATTTTGACATTATTATTCTTCTAGCCTTCCAGCTAGAGAGATATAATCAGTTGATTTCTTTATTAATTTAATTGGTGAAATATGGTATGACGTGTGATTTTTTATTTGTTGAAGATCCTATTGTTTTCCATCGTCACTTGCGATGGATCATGGGATCGTATCATTCTTATTTGAGTATTACGTATGTTACAAAATATTTAATGATGTTTTCGTCCTTATTTGTGAGATTCCATCTCACTCTTTTGAACAGAGAGCTTCTTACTTTTTGTATTCCCTCTTTGAATGCCTCAATCATCTCATCGGTTGATCCATGTAAAAAAGATTAGTTTCGAAACTTATCACTTAATAAATCAATGCTAAGATAACCAAAGCACTACAGGAGAGCATGTGACGAGATAGAAGATTTTCATCCCTAAAAAAAGTCATTCTTACAACGATTTGTCTTAGATTGAATGTCCCGTGTCGATAAATATAATGTACCTAGCAAGGATATACATCACCCATTTAGGTCGGCCAATTTCATAATGCAACGACCACCTTAAAGATTGTGTGGTGCGAGAGGATCACGTCTATAATGACTCGCATACATCAATAGTCTCATAGACTCGTCCATTTAACGAGAGGATGACTTCGACCAAAAAAAAAAACAAGAGGATGACTATCTAACAAGTCAATTCCAACAAATAGTAGCAAACAAGAAAATACAAATAACGGTGAAAATTGTCCAAAAAATCCTAAACTTATTACAGCTTTGCCAATTGAATCCATTCAATTAATTTCTAACCGGAAATCACTAACGTGGACACTTGTCATCCAACATTGCACAATCGACGCTGATGTAGATAAATTTTAGTGATATTTTAATATTTTTTATTTTTTTTAGTAATTTTTATTTTTTTTATTTTTTTTCTTTTCTTCTATTTTCATTCTTTACTCTCTTTTTTCCTTTTCTCTTCTTTTTTCTTTTTTTTTCTTTTTTCCCCTCCCTCGACCATTGCCGGGCCTCATCAATGGCCGGCGGAGGTCGCCGGCTAGAGCCGCCCTCGCTAGCATCCACGTCAGCGATTTCGGATCAAAATTGACCGGTAGACTTAACTGATAAAACGTGAAAACTTTAATATTTAATTGGCACAATTAAAAAATGTAAAACTGAATTGACAAAAGTATAATAAATTTATGACTTTTTAGATAAATTTTCCCATGTCGCATGTGTAGAATGATAAGGGTTCTGTCGGTCTGGTCGATCTCTATGAACTCCCATCAGATATCGGCTGTCCAAAGTGCTGGCAACCGACCAAAAACACAAAAAAGTTTCTACTGGTCTAAAGTCAAAGTGGGCATCTAATGGTGCAGGGCGGTGCGGCCGGGTTGGAAGAGACTCGATTGGCTTTGTTCCCGAACTTTGACGATCTTAAAGATGCCCCCGCAATTGGGCTGAACTGACACCTTTCTGTCTTCCACCCTCTCGAAACCCACGGGGTACGTCGATGCCAATGGTTTTGACTATCGTCGTTCAGGAGGTTTTGCTCTCGATATTTGCTCGGCTTCGAGGAAGGGCTGCTAGCACCCGTGCTGAAATAAACATCAAAAGCAGAATGAATTAGAAGCGGGCGTGAAGGAAAAAGAGCAGCCCCAATTGGATGGTGTTTGAGCGGCTTGGCATTCCACGGGGAAATTACTAAAAAAAGTCATATATATATTCCATTCGTGTCGATTCAGTTTTAAACCTTTTTAATTTGATCAATTTAGTCCTAGACATTTTAACGATTTTCCAACGTAATCATAGACCCATTCAGTTGCTCCAATTCAGTCCCAATCCCGATGTGCTTATGTAAGTGCGCCTCATAATATTTCTCGGGCAAGGAGAATCTCGAGGGTCGTGTGAATCCCATGAAGCTATCTCGATCTCTATCAATACGGGTAGTTATATACTTGCAAAAAATGAACCCCGCGACTTATCTAATGCCCGCGTGTCATGATTTACATCACGTGACATAGCCACGTGCGAGTCTTTTTGCCTGTTCAAGTTCTTTTCACAATTTACCGTAATCCATTTCTGTTGACTACGAAATTCATGTTTCTACGCATATAAATCTACAAAAAATCTGAAAAACCATTGATGAAGACAACATGCGGATTCACAAGTCCGTACAATTCCATCAGCAAATTGCCATTTTCATGAACTAATCCGATTCTTCCAGAGCAAAAACAGAGAATCAAACTTGATATTGACTGGGCTTCTTTACTTCTCCTGAAGCTGCACAGTGATGGCTTCGTGTATCTGGGCCTGAGCTTCGATTCTTCCACCCGAAGTTGCAGTTCCAGGGTCGTCGTCGTCGTCGTCAACTTTCTCTTTGCGCGATCTCCAACCCACCATTGTTTCTACGCAAGAATTTCACATCGAGACCCATATCCTGAACTTGAGAAATAACCCCCCCAAATTTCAGTTACTGGACTGCATCCCCTCGACCTGACGACCGCCATATACAGAACGACAAAAGATCGTCTCTTTCTACTCTTTCTACGCCCCGTACCTCGGCTCCAGCGACCCAGGCTAGGGAGACATCATGGGTAGCTCCAAAAGCGGCTTCGACGGCGATTCCGCCAGCGAATCCTACGGCGGCGCCGCCACCGAGAGCGACGCGGAGGGCGACCGGGACGACGGGTGCCCGCCTGCCCTCGAATCGAGCCCTTTCGCTGAGGAGGAAAAGGTCCTCGCTTTCCATAGCCTCCACATTTACGAGGCCAAGGTGCTTGCTTTTTCTCTCTTTTCTCTTTGCTCTCTGCTGGGCTTTCTCGACTTAGTCCCCTCTTGGTTTTGATTGTATTTTGGATTCTGTGATTTGACGATGAAATGAAGGACATTTTCTTGTTGGGTAGAAGATGAAGCTCATTTGTAGTAAGTTTGTCTGAGGTTTCAGTGGACTATAATGGGCATTTTCTTATCGTGTGGACAGAGCCCGTCGCAGTATTGGAACTGCATAGGAACTTGTATTTTTCCTCTAACCCGGTGTGGCATCACTTCCTTGAGGCGTGATGCTTGGTTGACTTGGTCCAGTAAAATGAGTCTAAGCAATAGTAACTCGTGTGTCTGCCTTTTGCATTGGTACTTCAGCTTCAGTAATGATCAGCAGAAAGCGTTACTTATAATTTGATCAAAGTTATCTCATCACCTTGTAAGCTGGAGACAGTTAACTTCAAGGGTAGTGCTATTATGTAGGAATCATCTTTCTTTTTAACCTGCTATTCGACAAAATCAACCGATGTTGTGGCATGAGTGTATCTGGATTAGTCAAATTTTCCTCAACAAAGTCAAGCACCAGTTATGGACTTCAAGTTGCGGTTGCTTCTTTTTCATGGTTTTCTCCACTTTTTTTCACGATACTTTCATGTCATTTCAATTAAAATTCTGTGCATGGAGTGCGCCATTTCTATCAGGAACTCTCATGGTTAATGCCAATAAAATGCAGGCTACTGCTTCCTTTAATTATGCGATGAATTTAAGTGCATATGTCTATTTCCTGAAGCAATTTATGCTCGTACTTAACTGCTCTTTACATGGTTTGTCTTCTAGCCAGCTTAACTGCTTTTCTATTCGATATATTTTCACGCACTGTGTGCTCTATGTGCAAGGTCAAAAAAATTGAATATCGACTCAGGGAATGGAGATACTATGTTCATTACCTGGTAAGTAGTATTTTTACCAATATCCCTAAGCAAATCTATTTTCGTTAAAACTGCCTGCTAGACTTCTCCTATATCATCGTGAAGATATTTGATCAAGGAGCTAAGTTGCTTTGAACTTCTGAAAATGGCATATGTTGATTTTAGATGCATCTCTTTGCAGGGTTGGAGCAAAAAGTGAGTGCATTGTCCTTCTCAAGCTGAGCTTACTGGCTTCTTAGGTGGTTAAGTTACTGGGTTTTATGTTCAGTCCACTCTAAGATGGTCATTGGCTTCTTTTGTTAATCTGATATTATAGTTGTTTTTCAGCATGTTGTTTCTTACTCTTTTTGTCATCAGTCAAAATTATGACTGCTTTTGCAATATATGGTCGCATGATCTTCAACATAAACTTTCTATATATTAATTATCCTGGCAGAATTTTTGATATGTCCATAAATCTAGTGTTGTCTTCATCATATCTTCTCTTCTTGTTATTTTTGTTAATGTTGCCATATTCATTCTCTTTTTTTAATTACCAAACCTTTCTTGTTAATTCATCTTATTTCATGATTATCTTTTTCTACCTTTCCTTTAAATAGTTGGGATGAGTGGGTCGGCGTGGATCGACTGATGAAATACACTGATGAGAACCTTCAGAAACAGCGGGAGCTCAATAATAAACAAGACGCAGAGAAAACTACAAAACCCAGCCGTGCATCTCATACTAAACCAAAGGGTTCGAATGGTTAGTTTGTTCCCCCTCAGAATGTACATTTATATAATAATACAAGTTCTTTCTTCTACTATACAAGTGGAATTGGCATACCATGATTTCGGTCCCTAATACTCTTCCTGGTCGTACCATAGTCCTATCCGCATCGTTAATATAAATTCATGTGATCTCCTTGAATGTTTCCTTCTATGGAAGGTGGTTTGCACCAATCAGCTTGAAAATTTTCCCTGGAAACTTTGTTTTAAAATTCTTGAGTGACCAGCATGTTCGAGTGGAGAAAACTTTATGGTGAAAGAATATTGAACGGCTATGCATAACATGATCCACCGGCTAAGAATGATTTTGCTAGAGCTTTCATACTAGAAGTTCAGGGATTAAAAGTTTAAAATGCAGAATCAAGAGACTCAAGTGTAATGTCTGACAGACTTCAAGAACTGAGAAAGGAATTTCTACTTTTCCGTTATTGCTTTGTTCATTTCCATTCTAATTGAAAGATTCGCGTTTAAATATGGCATGATGTTCTTTCAAACTAGTATGTTAGTTTATACTTTCTTTTCTTGTGAATGAACATATTAGTCATGTTCTAATAGGGTATATACAAAGTCATGCCGGAGACCTAATGAGTTAAAGGGTATTGATGCTTTTCATTTCCAACCTAATGAGTCAGCCTTTCTCTTTACAAACTTTTGCTTCTGCTTCAGTTCTCCTCTCAATAATGTCATAGTGTGATTTGCCTCTGACGCTTGACATCCCATCTCTCCATTATAATTGAGGAAACAACTTGAAAAGTGATGATCTATTGTTGAAAGATGGTGCTTGTAGATGCTTCAATTCTTCTCTCTTCTCTGTTTATGTGCTGATTTTTATGCAACTAATTACATTCCGGTGCTATGCAGTGCCAAGAGGCAAGAAGCGAAAGAATGATTCTATTCTCAAGGTATAAACCCGTACCTAAATTCGAACATTGTCTGCACGTGCTAAAGAAACTATCCAGAAGAATGTGTTACTCCGGTGAAAATAGCAGTTTCAGACTTTTACTTTAGTTTGGGTTTTTAGAAATGTAATCTCTGGTAATAATTTTGGTTCTCAGGAGAAAAGTGCTTTACCCTCGGAGAAGCTTGTGAATATACAGATTCCACCAACACTGAAGAAGCAGCTCATCGATGATTGTGAATTTGTTACTCATCTGGGCAAGGTAGCGAAGTTTGAATTCTTCCATGTCTTGAGTTGGCCTTGAATTATTAATGCAAACATAGTTGTGACAGAGCCAGAGCACCATTATAATGCAACTCGATGTATCTTGCTTGAGAAGTCAGATTGCCACCATTAGCAACGACCTGCTCTAATCAAAACCTTATTTACAGCTGGTCAGACTTCCCCGTGCTCCAAGTGTTGATGACATCTTGAAGAAGTATCTTGATTATAGATTAAAGAAGGATGGAATGTAAGTCCACAACGTACATTAAGCTCTTTACTTTGCTTTTTTGTATAGGTGTGTTGTTTGATTATTATTTTAAACTCAGTTATGGTGAATTGATTTTGGTTGTGAACTTATGTCATGCGCCTGGTGTTCCAACTCAGCCATGGAATTTCTTATTCTCATCCTTTGATAAAGTAACTCTTCTGACTGTACTTAATTATCTTTGTAAATAAAAACAAGCTTGGTAAACCATGAAATCTTATGAACGGAAGTGGTACAGCTAGCTTTCTCATGGAGAAATTTGTTAACTTTATCTGAATTGGCATTTAATGTGTGACTAAAAACAAATTCGAGATTCAATGTGAAGGGTGTAAGATATGGTCAATTGTTAAAAGCTGATGCAAGAAGAGAAGCACTACAAGCATGACTGTGTCCCATAAATGAGAAGTGGCTGTCAAATGGAAGTATGTTCTTTTTCAGAACTGGTGCTTTTTGGAACAAAATTCCAACTCCATCAAACCTTTGACATTGTAGTCAGACTCTTTCATGAGTATTTTTGTTCTTTTTCATAAGTCCAGTTGATTAATAGGTAGAAGAAAAGCATCAGTGCTCTTAAGTATGGTAGCTGAGGCAACTAATAGGTTACCTTGAGATATGTTATTATAGCATGGGGAATAATTTGGGCCGATTTTCCTGGCATGTAAATCTCTCTATTTTACTGTTCCCCCCCCCCCCCCCCCCAAAAAAAATATTTTCTGTTTTACCATTGCCATAATTGTTTTCTCTCAGTTTTCTTTACCAATGTAGGATGGCGGATTGTGTGGGAGAAATTATGAAAGGCCTGCGCTGTTACTTTGATAAAGCCCTGCCTGTGATGCTCTTGTACAAAAGCGAGCGTCAACAGTATGAGGAAACAGTTGTTGATGACGTCGATCCTTCAACTATTTACGGTGCAGAACATCTGTTACGCCTCTTCGGTATGCATCAATTTACAATCATGGATGTGGACAAAAGTTTTTATTGTGCGCTTCAAAGAGTTCATGCAACATTTCCTCATTTCTGTCTGTAGCCTTCATATTTTTCAGACTAGCACTAATTCCTCGAAAATGCTTCATCAAACTGTTAATGCTTCTGATCTTCAAAGTATGTGCATTCCCTGATAGTGTAATAGGTGCCTAAATAATAAGCACGTGCTCTGATAGTGCAACAAGAATATTGCTAGCACACCTTATCTTTGTGTGGCTATCCTAATTCATGGCTTCTGCAGTCAAGTTGCCCGAGCTGTTGGTCTATGCAAATATCGAAGAGGAGACGCTGAGAGAGTTGCAGCACAAATTAAACGACTTTCTAAAGTACGAACTCCTTATGGTGGTTTTTTTTTCCTTAATCGTGGAAATGGCAACATTTAATTGGGTGACCAACCGATTTCATCTTTTGTATGATTAAGCAAGCCTGTAAAAGGGTGTGCTCGTCATCTACTTACTGTATGATTAAAGTTTCAAACGGAAAGATCATGACAATGGAATGCTATCCTCATGCAGGTTCCTGCAGAAAAATCAGAGTTTGTTTTTCCTATCAGCGTACAATGTTCGAGAAGAGATCGAAACCAGCACGAACAATTTAGTGGACTGATTGGATCAGTTGCAGCAACAGCATGTACATATTATGATACGTATATGTATAGATAAAAATCCGCAGTGTCTTGTCCACTTTATGGCCATCCATATTCTTGTTTTGAGGTTTTCGGAGTTCCCTGTTGTGCTCTTGCAAGCCGGGTACGGTCGGAAAATGAGATGTGTTTGTGCTTGAGGACGCACTTTGTTTCACTACTGTGTCTCTAGGATGATGACTCCAGCTGAAGATTGTCTTATAATATCCAAGGAAGATTTTTATTGAGTCATCCTGAAAACAGAATCTCTCTCTCTCTCTTTCTGGATATGTGTGGAATTTCAAACGAATTGATGGTAATCTGCTGCAAGGTTTATTGATACGAGAATTTTTCAGCTTATATCTGGTGGGGATCGGGAGATGTATGTAGGTGCTGAAATCGAACGAACCCCTAGGTAAAGTCAACGGAGGCCTACAACAGTATCGACCGCCTGGATTCATTCAGGCCATCGTGGACACAGAATTTAGGCAAGATTTTCATCGTAAGAGAGGGTATGGTGATCGTCCGTGGCCCGTCACACGGCCATGCAGTGATTTTTCGATCGATCAAAAACTTAGGCGCCGTAATTCTTGAAAAGCATTCACTTCACAACATCGATGATTTCTCCTAACCAGAAAATCCAACGTACGACAACCCGAAGTAAACCGTTTCACCCTCTCTGTCAAGTCTTCCATCTAATTTTTACTTAATTGGGTGGAGGTGGGAGTCAATCTCACTGACGGATTCTTAAACAGAAAGTCGACCACTTGAACTGGGTCCAAAGATTGGGAAGTGGATGACAGGGAATTTCTTGGATTTTGGGTTTGGACGGATTCTCACTTGGTAGGACCATCCCCCTCTTCCACTTCCTCTTCACACCACATAACGACTCAACCCATTTAATCATTCACGACCCCAACCGATTCCCTTGTATCTTTCTTCCTCTTCTCGCTCTCGGACAAGCCTCCTGTCAGCATCGTCATCATCATCTTCTCTCCGTTCGTCGGTTCGTCGAAATGGCGCACAGCCAGAAAAACACACGGGGAAAAGTTTCCTCCCCACTCCCTCCCCATTTCAAAGAGGACTTCTCTCTCTCTCCCTCCCTCTCTCGTTTTCTTTTTCCATTTCAATTCCAAATTTGGGTTTTTTATGGGCATTGTTTATAAATATACGGAAGGGGAAACGAGTAACGTCACGAAAGCAGAAAGTGGAAGGAAATTCCATGGAAATATTTCTTCTTTTTTTTGTTGTTCTTTTTGTTCTTGATTTTTCACATTCGGGAATAACGTTTTGCTCGATCGCTGGCTGCTGCTGGCTGCTGCTGCTGCTTCTTCATGGCTTTCCTCTTTGCCCCCCGCAACCGATCCATTCCATCTCCGACAAAACCCACCTCTCCATCCGCCTCTTCCCTCTTTATATACAACCCCCCACCCACCACCCACCACCGAAGTTATTACCATCTGTATAAAGATGACATGAAAGACTAGAAAAGATGGAAAATAAAAAATAAAAAGTTGGACTAAAAGGGAAAAAAAAAAAAAAAGAACGGTTGATGACGGTCACTCTCTCTCTCTCTCTGCATCTCTAGCGCCGATTTGATGGTTTTTCTTGTGCCTCGATCACTTGGGGAAGATGATCGCCAACGTAAAAGCTTGAGATGGCCCCCCCCTACTCCCTGTGCTAATTTTTCGGTTTTCAGTCGATCTTGCTAACGCCGATGCGCTTGACAGCCGCATTCCGAACCGCCTCGCTCTGCAGGCGCAGGCCGTTCTGCTCGATCCCGGACATGTAGCTCCTAACCTCCTTCCTTATCATCTCCTGCATCACCGCCATGAAGTCCGCGCTGAAGAACTGCTTCTCGTACCCGGCCGCCCCCATCCCTTCGCCGTACTGACCATGATGAGGAATCGGCACCGTCGTCGTCGGCGTCGGTAGCGGCGGAGGCGGCGGCGGCGGCTGTTGCTGCATCACCTGGGTCCTGGTCGAGAACAGGGTCGGGCTGGGCCTTGGGTCGGACGCCGGCACGGTCCCGCAAGACGGTCCGTGGTTCGAGACCTCGGCCAAATCGGATCCGGGCAGAGACAGGCTGAGCAGAGTAGGGGGATCCGTGGTGGTGGACGACGACGCGTCGCCGTGCTGGCCCGACAGCGCGGGCATGATCGGGCCCGTCCTCGCCACGGGGCGGAACACGCGCGGGGAGGGCATCCCCACCGGCAAGCCCGAGTCGCTCAGGTCGGATCCCGACGGGCTGCTCGGGCTGAGGAACAGATCGGAGACCGCGTTGGTGCCCGTGGGCGTGCCGAGGCTGGCCGACCGCTTGAGCGGCTGCCGCTCCGCGAGGTCGCCGTCGCCGTCGCCGGCGGAGCACGAGGAGGAGCACTTCCTCTTGAGGGTAGAGTTCCAGTGGTTCTTGACGGCGTTGTCGGTGCGGCCGTTGAGGAGGCGGGCGATGGTGGCCCACTTGTTGCCGAACTTGGCGTGGGCGCGGACGATGGCGTCGTCCTCCTCCGGGGTGAAGGGGCGGTGCTCCACCTGGGGGGAGAGCTGGTTGCACCACCGGAGGCGGCAGGACTTGCCGGACCGCCCGGGGATGGACTTGCTGATGAGGGACCAGTTCCGGGGGCCGTAGGTCTGGACCAGCCTCTGCAGCGCCTCGTCCTCCTCGGGGCTCCACGGTCCCTTGATCCGATCCGCGTCTCTCCTCGCGGAAGCAACAGAAGAAGCAGAAGCCGCCGCCGCCGCAGCCATGGCCGACCCCCCCTCGATGCTGCTTCTCTCTCTTATATAATATTACCGAATAACACGCCCTAAGCCGAGAGCTACGACTATAAAAAAAACCGGGGATACGACGGCGTAGCGATCTTTCGTACAGCGGTGGGCGGCGGCGGCGGCGGGGGGCGGGGGAGGTGGTGGTGGTGGTGGTGGTGGAGGCAGGGGCCTCACCTCTCAGTGAATTGAGAGAGAACAAGAAGGAGAACGGGGAGGAGGGAGTATTTATATGGGGGGTGGGGGAGGGGATAGGGATGACTGGGGGGAGCCGGTTGCGGTGACCGGTCATGAGCCGTTGGGAGGTGGGATTTTCTTTTCGAGGCGGGGGGCAGTTACTCTATCAGAGCCGCGGTACAGCTGTCATGGGGACACGCGTCGCGTCGCCGCCCGTCCGAGTTACACGTATTGTCGCTCCCCCTTCCCCTTCCCCCCACATTTCACTTTGCTCCGCTCGATGTACACGTCGTCAGCCAGCTCCAGCATTTTGAAATATGCACCCCCCTCTTAATCTATTCCCCCCACCCCCACGCTTTCCTCCTTGGAAAAAAACAATGCATCTAAAATTTCTAAATTTTATTTAGAGTTAATATCGTTACAAATTTCAAATTTTATACGGCTATAATAAACTCATCTTTCGTTAATTTTCGTTAAATTTTCAAATTACTGAATTAGATAACGCGTAACAGTTGACGGGTAAATTTAGAATTTTGCCCTCCATTTGTCACAGGTGTATCAGTTTATGATGTTTTGTGATATTAATCCAATTTAACGGAAACTAACAGAGGGTAATTTTATAACAAGTGTACCAATTCATGATTTTTTGTGGTCGAAAAATTAATTTTGGATAAGTTTTTGTTCACAGGTATACCGATTCGGGATTTTTCGTGATCAAAAAATTAATTTTTAATAAATTTGTCGCGAATTTATCAATTTGGCATTTTTTATGATATTAACCTCTCGCTTTTAACATGGTCACATCATTTCAAATATATTTTAAGTCACGGATATTGTGTGATAACCATACTCGCCGCCTACCGTCAAAAACCTTAAACTTCATCCCATCCATAGATATTTACCCGGACCACCTTAATTTAATTCGGTCGTCGTCCGAAGACCACATTAACCCCGAGATAAGGATGGAATGCCGAGCCAATGCTACGGAGCAACAACCGAATCAGCGAAAAGACTCTCGATCTGCTGCAGCCGAGACGGCAGACTTTCCAAAAAGAAACTTCTCTCAGAAGACTTCGGGGGAAGTTGAAACGGTGGGGGGCAGGGTCGGACGACCCGACCGAACCGAACGGGGGCGGGTCGAGGAGATGAAAAATTATCCAAGAGAGCCGAACCGAAGGGAGGACTGACCGTTTTGGAAGTTAACGAGGGAGGAGGTTAAATAGAGATAAGGACGAATAATAAAAAAAAAATAAGAATAAAAAAAGAGGAAAACATGATTTTTTTTTTTCAATTTTTTTTTTGTGTGGGGGTACTCCTCCTTTCTTCCTTTTTTGAAATTCAACGAGTTTTATGGTGCGTCGTTGCGGTTCGCGTAACCATCACAAAAGGTGAGGGAGGAGGTTGGATCGCGGACGGATGGACACTTTGACCGATCTTCCCACCCAGCCAGCCTGTACTCCATTTCGTGTATTACACAGAGAGAGAGAGAGAGAGGGGAGGGGGATCGATGATGACGACATGATTTTTTCCTCCTCTCTCTCTCTGTCCGTCTCTTTCCTGGTTTGAGTGTGTGTGTGGGGTGCGTGAGAGAGAGATGGGTTTTTCTCTTTCGTTGAAATAAAAAAATGAAATAAAATATGGGATTCGAGAAAAGGGAGAGAGAGAGAGAGAGAGAGAGAGAGAGAGGGGGGGCTGGGGGGAAGAGAAAAAGGGAGGAAAAGGACGCACGGAAGTTGCTCGCTACACGACAAAACCCCGGAGTTAGCAGAATCGGAGGACGACGATCACGATCGGTACTCGCTGCCTGCTACCGGTGTCAGTCCAGCCTGTCATCGATTTAGAGCCCCACCCCCACCCCACCCCACCCCACCCCCCTCCCCCCCTAACGGCCACACGGGGACCGACACGTGTCGGTCGACTCGATCCGAACCGCCTTTACCTGTCGATCCGTATTTTGGAAACGGAATTAAATGGGCTGCCCTCCCTCTTTTCGCCCCCCCACCCCCCCACATCCGTTGGTTTTTGCTTTCCTATCCTTTTAGTTTTAGTAGACTAGTAGTAGTAGTCTCCCTCGTTTGATTCTTTTTGGCCCCTTCTTTTTCTTTCGATCTTCTTTCTTACCCCCCCGCGATTCGTTTAAGCTTTAATCTCATCGAACATCATGTGCGTTTTTCCGTGTAATTCGAAGAGAGAATCTTGAACTGCAGAACCCGGTAGCTTTGTCCTCGTTCCGGCGTCGTTATGTATGCTTTTTCCCACTTTGGTAATCCCGCTTAAAAAATGCAGTGTGCGTCGGTACTGCTTCGGTTAGAATCGCATAGAAGAATCGTAACGGGGGCCTCTCGGTTCCATCCTAATCTTCACTCGGTTACCTATCGATTGTATATGAAAGGACGAACGGATCACGGGCCGCTCACGAATCCTCACCTGCGCGACATTCTGGACTCGAGACCCGGACAACATCGAGACGGAGAAGACAAAAAAGATGCACGGGCTCTGGCCCTTAATCTCCATCTTTTTCCTTCTTCCAACCCCCTTCAGATCTCCGACATCACTTGTCTACCCGCTTTTGGTGCAGCGATGGCACCCGTAACAAGATGCTGAAATTGAGGCCGACCGTGGTGCGATCGAGGTCGTGGGCCTAATCATAACGTCAAATGACACAAACCAGATTCGTGCCCCGTCACATATTCCACCACCGAAATGCCTCTTAGTGCAATGACCGACCATCAACGAGCGGCTCAATACGCCTTCCACGCACCGTTCGGCAACCTATGGCAGTAGTCCGTCCCGTCCCCGACCGCAATCCTCTTCGTGCCCCTTAGGATCGATCGGGTCGAGATTAGAACTAGTTAATGAGGGGTTGAAAAGGTATTAAAGCGGCAACGAAAGCAACCTCCCCAGAAAAAAAAACGGAAGGAAGGAAAAAGCAGACAAAAGGATGGAGAGAGTCCACCGTTAACGCGGGAAACAGCTGGCCGGGAGGGGCACATCTGATCTGAGCCATACAAATACATTAACAATGTGGTGGTCATAGTCACACCCACTCTCACGTGCCGTCCTCACCTAACTCTGTCCCTTTCCCATCTTTCCCCGACCCCGTACTCGCACGTTTCGTATTTTGGCCCTCACGTGACTCCTTTCCCCATGAATCGTATGTAGTTTCTTCGATAACCTTCCGAATGCCCCCTCCTTTTGCAAATTTCCAATCTTTTCTCGAGAGAAAAATCAACGAGAGAGATTAGGGTCTTGAGTCGCGCCTTCGCGTCCTTACAAAAAAAAGTTCACTTTAATTCGGGAATGGCGAAGACGAATGCGGAGTCATATGGCAGCAATTTTAGCAAATCCAAACTCGCAAGCATGACCTCGCCTTTCGTTTCACGTCAAAACCCCCCACCTAATTCTCCTCTTGGGTTCTTTGAGGGGTAGGGTGGAGTCAGCTTCCGTGAGAGGACTTGCAACGCGGAGCGGCAGCTCTTCGACCAAAAAGAGAATAAAACTGGCCCCAAGAGGGGACACGCCGGTAGCCTTGCATGGCTTTTTGCAGCAATTTGCATGCTTCGGATTCTTACAGTAATGCCCCGGTTCCGCTCTTATTTTACTTGACACCTCGAGTGGCTTTTTTCTGTCAGTCTTTTGCTTCGTAAAGGAAAAGTTCGCTTGCTGCATCTTTTGGTATTCACACCACGGAACACCCCCTTGGCATTAGATTTAATCGAATCGTTAACGCTAAAGTATGTCGAAGGAAGCGGGGGGAATGGGGATGGCCGTGATTCTAACAACACATGGGGTGTGGAAAGTTGTAGGATGTTTCCTCGCGAAGAAGACCCTGATTAAAATAATGATGAGGGAAAACCAAGAGGAAAAAGAAAAGGGCAACTGGTGGATCGTTCATATATGTAAAAAGATGGTCGAAAGTCGTCCGCTTTAGTTTTAATCAAATGCTCTCCACGATTCCCAAGTCCCCACGAGCTTCGCGTCAAGCAAGACATCATGGGTTGAGTGCAGAGCCGTAGAGAGCCGCGAGTTGGGCGAAGGTGGCGTAATCGTGCATGTAATACAGAAGGACACTGAGATTCAGCTCGACGAGGCGAAGGGCATTGGGAGGAGCAGAGCAGCACTTTGGTTGCTGCGTTTGCCCCTAAGGGCCATGGGAATTTCTTCTTGGGGTTTCCAACTCAAATGTAAGAAGTAGAGGAAATCAGGAGCGAGCCTGCTAAAAAACAACCGTCTCGCTGTCGCCTTGTGTACTTTGTTGCTCCTGTTTCGACTTAGATCAATCGTTCTTCTTTGTTCTTTTGGCAAAGTAACTCGGCCTTCGGGTCGATTTCCGCCTTCTAATGGCCGATGATTGTCCCTTCCTTGTAGGAATAGGATTCAAATAACGAAGTGTATTCAAATGGGCTTCCGGGAAAAGTCTAGCTAGGGTCTGACTCCAATCTGTGGAGAACGGAAGCACGTAGCGATGACTAATCCAGAATCGTGGAAAGTGAATGGAATCAGATTGCAACAACGGAGGGAGAAACTAGAGAAATAGTGGAAAAAAGAGACGGAAGTGCCAGTTCAGGGGGGAGGAAAGAATGCCAAGTAGGCAATATTCTATAATGAAAAATCATCATCCAAGCGTACAAAATCTTCATCTCAAACTATATTTACAGGCAAACCCTAATGACCCTTCTCCTAAGAAAAATAGCTCTGATTTCATCATCCAAGCCCTAATGATATCTTACAAAGCCTTTTCATATATATATATATATGCCCACGTTTTATTTTCCTCCTCTTTTGCGTTCTATTGTTTCTTAAGAAATTGCATTTATCCATTACAGTCATTGCAGAGAGACCGTGGAAGTGCATCCGATCAGAAAGCCTCGGACTTGGACATGAAAGTTGTGATTACACTTGAATCTTTCACCTGTTTCCTAATCCGATGTCGAGAATGGTGTTTATATGAACCGATTTTTCCTTCGAAGTTTCACGTTTTGCAGTCCTCTGAGCAGAGAAAAAGAAGCATACCAACAGATAGATAAACAAAGCCTAAATATGCTGTTACATATGTAGCCATGGTGGATGGTGATGAAAAAGAAGCATCCCCTTCCCCATAGCATATATATGCTTCACCAAAATGTGAAGGTCGGCAATCCTTGTGACATTCCGCAACAGAAATGCCGAGAAAGGAATCGAATTCGACAAATGTTGTGGAAAGGGGTTCTTTGTTGATTATGGACATGGATGTAATCGACAATAAAAAATAAAGATATGAAAGGCTAGATAGTGGTAATTTAACGGTTACGAGAAGGATAATAGGTACGGGATTTTAAAAGTGCTCAAAAGGGTAAATTTGCAGGAAGAGTAAAGGTGAAAGTAAACGTGCATAAGAACATATGCTCTGTTGTTGATTGGGAGTGTCACAGAGGTTGCAACGTGAGCTTTTATACCCCCCCATCAGCAGTTATGGATTTTGAATCCACGAATGACTTCCAAACAACCTTGTACAGTTATTGTTGCGCAATTATGCTTTTTGAGATTCGAGACACGAGCCTCCATTATATGACAGTGATTATTCATAAAAAAATTACAAATTTCGAGATTATAGACATAACCACCTAACAATCATGTTTTCGTGTCAATCCACCGTCTTCGTCTTCGACTAATGTGCTGGCAAACCTCTGTTATGTTCATAAATGACCCAAGTTTTGTTAGCAAGCCTTTAGTCAGAGCAACATTACACTTATTAAGACTGGTTTACAAAATTTAAGCACAAAGTGATATGTATGCTAGACTACTAATGGTTCTTTAAACAAGTGAATCATATTCAAAACCGATAATAGGTTGACACTTCACTTGGTCTGCATCAGAGCAATAAATGACCCAAAAAGTAGTTGGAAGATGTCAATAATTTGTATTGACACAACGAAAAATGTTAGGAGCCTCTTAATTGACATTACTATAAGCAAGTCGGCATTTCACGTTTGAAAGCAAAGATATTCTCAATGAGATCAACTTGGAAGGACACAATGGTACGAATAAATTTGACAGATGATTCCCGGATGAAATGAACGACAGGACTTTGTCGTTTAGATATCCCTGAGAGCTTCACAAAGCTAAGATGCGTATGAAAGCCAAAGGAAACTAACTTAACTATTCACTGATAATGACCACTAAACAATAAGGTCGGGTTCTACTCATAATCCCAACTTTAGAAGCCAATTCCGGTTCTTTTTATACCATATTTCAATACAGTTAACCACTAGCTTGATCATATATGATCATTTCCTAGCTATACCCGCGAAAGCGCATGGTACGAGGAGACTGTTGGTAGATATCTGGAATCGGATTTGATATGAAAGAGCTTCAAGGACACGACCTTGTTAAAGATTGGTATGATTTTGGACAAACAATTTCAGCTGAGAAAAGGGGTGTCGCACTTTTTTTATTGCTTGGCAAACACCTCAACGGGCACCTCTACGGCGCTAGTAGCTTTACATAAGTTTTTAGCAAATTGTGTATCACAATACATACAAGTTGTAGCATTTCATAATCAACAGAGTCACGGCTTAAAACAATCACTGCGAAAGCCCCGGTGACACCAAAATGGATTAATTGCATTGCTTGACCACCCTGAGCTACAGTCCTATGTCGACACGGGTCTTGTGACTTCACCTAGCTTTCACATTCTGTACCATAAGCAAAATAATTCTGAGGAAGCAGCAATTAATACAGTGAGTGCCATTGTCATTTGTCACAGTTGAATCCCAAGTCTCTGTTTAAAGATGGCCAGCCAGGCCGGTGATGAGCGAGAGAAAAGTGCACATGAAGAGAAGAATGTTTTGCGTTAGTTTGCTGGAATAAAAGCTGTGCAGGACTTTCTCTCGTCGGACCAAAACCTCGTATCCTCACCTATAGACTTCATCATCAAGAATGTGTAGGGATCGAGTGATACAGTTGTCAGCCTCTTGAGCCTGGAATTATTTGACGCAGCAGACATCACGCGTTGGACTTTCTTTCGCACCGAACCATCGATGGCGTCGAGACAGTGCATCATTTAATGAAGGGTGTGGAAATAATCACTGATACTTGTGTTACAGTGGCCCCAGCAAATAGGGCAACCAATACACATCACCGACTGAATCAGGAAATGGAAAACTGGTTCTCGATGGGTGTGACTCTTGAGTGGTTTGATAATGAAGAACCTTTGTTATTACAGTAAATCCTTAACGGGGTGTTGTAAATTTATGACCTTTAGATTGGTAGTATAATTCTAATGACAAAGGGAAGACCAACAATGAAGAAAACTCAGACCGACATTCTTGAATACAATTACCCTAACATCTTCAGACTTATCAATTAATGTACGCATCATTCTCCTTCTTTAGTTTGTAATTGTCGCTATACTCATTCATGTTCCCTCAGGGATTATGTACAATTCGGTTTAACAGCTATTTCCAGGACAACATCTTGATAATTGTAATCCAAATCACCCGCGTGGCACGTAAACCACCTCGCGATCACGGCCTAGATAGCGTCCAAGAAGATCCTCACCGTTGCAAAGGAGAAAGGCACGAGATTTGCTTGAAGAGACAGCCAACTACTTGCCTAGATGACTCGGTTCATGATGGACGATGTTAAATACAACCATTGATTATGTGGTTTCCACAAAATGCAATAGCCACGATCACATTTGATTGGGCAATTTCTTCGCTCGGTCCGATCCCCTAATGCGTCACCCACGAGATTAAGCAATGGAGAAAATCGCGGGATAAAGATGATTCTCATCCAAATCACCCAAGGACACCCTTTTGCTCCACGAAAAGTTGTAAAGATCTACTTGGAATAACTTCTACTTTTACATGTATATTTTTTTTGTACGTTAATTCTTGAGAAGTAATGTCCATTTGATACCATTTATAAAAACTATATACGGGACATTTGAAGCCAATCACAAATCAATCAACACGCCGTTTCATAACTCCTCAAGGCCAAAACAGTTGATTTAGTTCTAACCAGAAATTTCGTAACCACTTATTGATTTGCTCAAAGCAACTCAATTATATCTTTCGATCAAAAGAAAAACTCAAACTTTATTTAATCCGGCTAGACAAGAAAACCAAAAAAACTCAACTTTTATCTCTCTTTAGGCGTACGCCGGATCATAAGTTGGGCGCGACATCGTACCTCCTCTTGTACAATGATCGCTCTGGCTCCTGTCTAACCCTAGTGGGCAGTTCCTCCCTCTTCTCTCATCTCCCATGAATTATTTAGTCCACCGAGGACTCCTCCACTGTCCTCCACCGCACACGTAAACGTCGGACAAAACGACAGAAACAAAAGAAAACAAAGAGAACCGGGACACACCGCGACACGTGGGCAAGCGCACACGCCATCGCCCGACCGCGAGCGAGCGAGCGAGCAAACGAACCGGAGCGTCGCCCGGCCACGTAGGCGGGGTCGGTGCGGGGCCCACACGCCCGCGGGCGTTTACCTTTCGAGATCCTCTTGTCCGTTAAGGGGGTGACGTGGCGCGGGGGGCCGTTAACGGGGCCTCCTAACTGACGGTCGGTAACGGTGGGAGCGGCTCTTCTTTTCTTTTTTTTTAATTTTTTTTTTTCGTGTGTTTGTTTTCCGGAAGTTTTCAAAAGGGAGCGCCAACCGGATGCCAGCTATATCCCACTGCGACTGTTACGCACGCGCTCGAGTTCCGAGAGAACAATCCCGCCCCTACTTAACCTACTTCGTGGGGATTCGCGACGACGAAAATCCCGGGGGCCCCACGCCCGACGGTGGTCCCCGCGCCTGCGATTCGGCTCCTTTTGCATGCTCTTCTCTTTTCTTTTCTCTTTTTTTTTTTTTAACGTACGACGCGATCCCCTCTCCCTCTCTCTCCTGACGTTGTCGTGTGGGGCCGTCCCCCCTAGGGGTGAGCGGTTCCAGGTTCCGGGTAGGTTCCGCCCTTTTTTTAATTTCGTTTTGAATTAAACAAAACAAAAATAAACGCAAGAATCCTTCATACTGCAGGCAGCACCTAAGACCATTCTTTCCAAAGTGTTATTTTATTAGAATTCAGTGGAAACAATGGAGGATATGACAGATAAGACACATTCCTATCATATAGCATGCCTAACAGAGCTCTACTTGCAACTCGCATGTAAGTGAACTGTCATTTGCAACACAAGCAAGAAATCTTGACACAGCTACTTCATAGCAAAAGTGACGAAGAACATTGTCAATTTCCACAAATCAAAGAAATTTGCGAGACAACCGGTAATTGCACAATGAGGCACTTAAGGTCAGCAATCTAAAAGCCTCCTCTCCCAGAAAAAAGGCTGAACCGCCGAGTGCCAAGAATACACCAATCTAGTGATTCAAACAAAACTTTCAACTGCATCCATGAGCCGCAAGGAAAGCCCCATAAGTGAGGCCAAAAATAAGGAAAGGAAAAATCACCAACAGAACAATGCTTGTAACCCCCAACTCCCCTACCAAAACAAAAAATCCCCACAATATGCTAGATGGCATAGACTAAAATGACATCAAACGAAAACAAAAATGAATCAAAAAATACCATCGCTACATCACCTCATGGGAGCTGCAGCAAAAAAACGAAAAAGAAAACAAAGACAACATCGACCGAGCAACGCGAAATTGCTAAAAGAAATCCAAACAAGATCACGATCGCAAATGAGTCAGGGAATTCAATCAACAACAACAACAAGAGAAGGATAAAGGGACCCACTTCGATGCATAAATTGCCGCTGCAGATGATGTGCTGGATCTTGCCAGGGACGAGCATGGACTTGAACTTTAAAGGGCAGATCAGGCGCCTTGTGCGGTATGTGCAGATCCCCCAATGCCAAAACCAACACCATCTTTCTTGTTCTCGCTACTCTCTATCGATCACAACGACAATGATAAGAAAAAGGGTCAACGAAAAAACAAGAAAATGTAATATTTCCACACCCAAAGACGATCCTTTCTATTTCTCTTTCTCCCTCGATCGAGCTTCAACAATCAATCTCTCTTCTTCTTCTCCCTTAACGCAAAGACATGAAGTTCGGGTGTGCAAGTGCGTAATGTGCTGATGAAAACTAACAAGGGTTTTGCGAAGAGAGAGAGACGTTGACTCGGACATACCCTGGAACCGAAGCGGACATGGAAGACCCTCCTCCATCCCTCATTCTTGTCGTTCTCTGAAACTTCTTCCTTTCTCCTCAGGTTTACCATCTCGAACTCACCTCGTCTTCGTCCACGCGCCTCCAGCAATCAGGTTCTTCGCCATCCCACGCTCTGTCGTCGTCCCTCCCGGGCCTCGAACCACCACTCGCGCCACCTCTAGCCCTCGAACCCGCGCAATCCTTAGCAAAATCCTCGTCCCCGCTCGAGATGCTCAGCATCTCGACGTCCGAATCGTCATCGTCGTCGACCGCCCTCCTATTCCCGTTGCCGCCCTGCTCTTGTTGCCGCCGCCCTAACTGCCGCTGAAGGCGCCACCGCAGCCCGCCCTCTGGGGCCTGCAAGCCGCCGCGGCGGAGCTCTCACCGGGTGTGGTTGATGAAGACAGAGGAAAAGCCGAGGCGACGCCAAACGGAGAGAGGAGAGGTAAGCTCGTGGAGTCGTGGGTGTGGGGAGTGCGAGAGAGAGCAGACTGGAGGAGGACTGAGCGAGGAGAAATAAGGGGACGAAACAAGAAACAAACAAAAGTTAGGGTTTTTAGAGGGTAAAGTAAACCGGTTCCGGTTCCCCGGTTCCGGTTCCTAGGAATCGGAACCGGGAACCGGAACCGGAATCGCTCGAGGAGCGCTCCCACGCGATCGCGCCAAGTCCTCGAGATTGCAATTATCGAGCTATTATTGACTTTATAAATGTTCGTGTTTTTTTTTCTTTTCATTTATGTGTAAATGCTCAGCCCAGGTGTTGACGTGTCATGACAATTTCTACAAAGATTTCCAGAACATAGAGTAGAAGCAAAGGCTTTGCGACTCTAGATAGAAAGTTCATATCCATCACGTATCTCTGCTGTTATGATCCTTGTGGCATGGTTTCGCGACCTCCTAATGGATAAGAGGATTCATAACTTATTTATACTCAATTCATCTATCTTGCTCTCGGTTATTCTCGTGTTCACTCATTCTATATTCTCATATAAGTTTGAGTATGAATTTTCCTAAATTAAGTTAAATATGAAAGTGTTTTAACAATATGAGTTGGGTATGGGCATGGGTCATTAAATTTACATTACATGAAAATGAGTCAAAACTGATTAAAAGAGTCTATTTGATCGGATCATTTTTGACTCAACCTACTCGTTTGACAGCTCTAGCCGACCCTTGCGAGTGAGGAAGCATTCCATATGTTGTTTGCTTAATTGATGTGGCATAGTCAATCGTAATCACATCATTCATTTCATGTGTCACATTCAACTTCTACGGTCGAATTTTTAAACTTATTCATTTTTATTGGTAGACTTCTCCATGTGTCAAGCTCATGACCCAAAACACCTTCCTTTCACGAGTACGAAGCGACTCTCGCTAGTGATCGTAGAGGGGACGATGCCCTTATCCTCTCTCTCTCTCTCTCTCTCGTCCCGACCAAGTGCACCCTCTCTTTTTTTAGTTTTTTTTTCCTTTTAAACATTCTTCTTCTTGTCATTTGCTTTATTTTTTATCATAAAAAATTTTCATTCATTACCAAAACGATACATGAAAGGATTATAGGAAATCTCAAAAGTTCACATAACAAGGCAAGCCCGTAGAGATCCAAAGCAAACCAAAGACCAAAAATCAAAATACATCATTAGAGCATGGTTGGCAGAGTTAATTATCCGCTCGTCCTTCAAAAATGGATCTGTGACTACATCTAAGCGAAATGATCGGTGGCCAATCACCGAATCATACATCATCATAAATGATGAGTATATAATGAGATCTTCATCAGTAATTAAGGCTGCACCTTTTGGCGGTGTGCACCTATGTTCAGCGTCCCTAACGCCATCACCGTATGAACACAACACGAACAAGTTCAGATCTGACACTTGTAAGAGCGAGCCGTTCAACAAATGCAATACGCCAAAGCTTTTAACAAAAACACGTTGAATGAGTACATATTTGATACCGAAGCTGTTGTGAACACTATTAAAATTGGAGACGAAGTACTTATTTATTAAAACTCTTAAATCTAGTAGATCAGAGAGAAAAACTTCAAGATATAAGGTCGGGAGAGCAAAGCTCCCAAATTTAAAACTAGATCGGGAGAGTAAGGAAATAAACAATAGAAAATGAAAGGAAAAGCAATTAGGGAGGGGAGGGAGAGATCTAGGTCAAATTCCTCCCTGCCAGAATTTTCTTGGATAATAGGTCACCCCCAGATATTATTACAATCACAAGGTGTTTTGGTATAACTAGAACAGTGAAAGGGTAATATCATGGGCAACCCATGAACTTTTTCAATGTAATCCTTGAATTTTCTTTTTGTACAATTTAGTTTCTAAAATTTTTAAATTGATTTTAAAGGGATCTTTCCGTTAAGTTAACAAAATTTTTTTTTTGTTCATATGACTACTAATATCATTAATTGTCCACATTAGCATCTAATGTGTCCAATCGAACGGTCGAGATGCTTTCGCGTCCTCATTAAAGTGGCTCACTTACATTAGAATTTTTCTTTTTTTCGTCTTCATTTTTCTTCCCAACCTTGATCCAACATTACCGTTCCATACCCTCTCTCTGCCGTGAAACATCATCCTCCATCACCTCACCATCCTCGCTGCTGCGGTCGACCCATCATCCACCACCGCCCTCCATGCACCACCCATCCTCCCTCCCCCTCTCATTCTACGCATGCGCGCCGGTGCTATACTCTAATTTGAGGCCTATTGAGACATTATAATCATGAAATATCGGTCAAACATCTTTTCAAAAGCAACACTCATTTCGACAGCCGTGATTACTATAGAAAAAGAAACACATCAAACATCGATGCCAATCGCAATTAACCCACGTTTCTCTCGATTATACATGTATTCATCCACGGAAAGGCTCGCAACAACGAAGCATCATCACTAACACCAGCTTTTCATATTGTAATCCGGTCACTCCCAACATGCCCGATTACCTAATTCGATGGGAAGAATCAATGCATGTTGCAGTACAAAAGAAAGAATATTAAACAATATGTAAACAAATGGAAAGAAGCCAGTGTCGTGAACCTCGTGTTCAATCTCATTCGCTAAGTTAAAAAGGAAGAAGGGGGGGATGTCCCCACTCCCGAATTGACTAATTAGATAAAAAAAGTCAGCTCCATTCCCAACTCGTTGATGTCTCTTGTTTCCACTTTTTATTTTACTGTTGCTCCGGAATTAACATCAATCACCTAACTCCACAATTGTCCTTTCATTATTCTCTAAGTGGATTACAACTAACAAAAGTTCCCTAATTTAACTTCTCACATTAAATAAATTAGCTTAGGGAGTGAATGATTTGCTTGAAGCAAACAAAGGTCTACATCTCATCTTATATTTATCCTCCTAGAATTCGTTTTCTTTTCTTTTTCTTTTTGAATTTGAGTTTGGGATTAAATAAAAGTTCCCCAATCTAAGTGGATTACAACTAACAAAAGTTTCCCAATTTAACTTGTCACATTAAATAAATTAGTTTGGGGGGGTGAATGATTTGCTTGAATCAAGCTAAAGTCTACGTCTCATCTTATATTTATCCTTCTAGAAATCGTCTTTTAATTTTTTTTTTAAATTTTGGGTTTGGGACATGATTAGACTCCGGTCACGTCAGGAGAGCTTTGCAAAGCTCCAAATCTCTTTTAATGGTTAAGAGTTAGTGCCAACTGCCTATCGTGTGACGATAACTGGGAAAAAAAAATTAGATGAATTGATGACCACGTAATAAACTATGTTCATTTGAAATTCGAAGTGCATTAGCTTTGTTTAACAGCAATTCTGGAATTCGATTTTACGCTAACCGTTGCCAGCTATGTCGATATGTACACTGATAAACGTGGCTCACTGAGAAAAGATCACGTGGCTTATATTTTATCTAGATGATGTACGTGTAACGTGGATTGGATAGAGATAAATGTACGTTGATAATTGATGAGACTAACCCCTAGACTAACTCTAGGGATATATGCACTAGAAGTCCTAAAAATTATTATGAAAGTACATTTAAATCCTAAAACTTGCAAAAAGTGCAATCAAGGTTTAAAATTTGTTAAATTGATGCAATCGAGTCTTTTCTTTAACTCCGTCCAACTTGACTAACTAAACATGCTGACATGGTTTTTTTTTAAATAATTTCTCTTTTCTAGGTGACGATGACGTGGCTAAAACACGAAACATTAAACTAAAACGACGTCGTTTTGGTTCAAATATGATTTTTAATACAAATTTTACTAAAATTAAAATTTTTAAAAATTAAGATAAAATAAAAAAAGAGGGAGTAAGAACCATGTAGCGAAGGCTTTGCAACCATTGTTGCCTTTGCCCCACTATCGCACGGCGATGGTGGGGAAATGGTTAGCGAGTGTCGCCAGGCCCTGGCCAAGGTCTGGCGACGCCAGGACCCGGCCAAGGGCTGGCGACGCCAGGACCCGATGACCCTCGTTGACCGCAGGCGAGGGCCTGTAGGCTCTCACCTAGATCGAGCGAGGGTCGTCGTTCCTCGCCCAATTCTAGCCAAGGGTCGTTAATGGCGATTGACCCTCGTCAATGGCAGTCATTAAACTTGTCTATATGTTGTATACTTATAGCTTTAGAAGTCAAGGGAATATCAAAATAATATTGATAAAGGTGGCTCACTAAGAAAAGATTACATGGCTTGTGTATTATCTAGATGATGTACATGTTGCCTGCGTTGGATAGAGATAAATGTGTATTGATAATTAATAAGATTAACTCCATTTCAACTTTAATGACAAATTGAGCCCTTGAGTTGAGTTTTTCAATAAATCATTAATTATCTTATGATGATTTAATAGGATTGCTTCTAATGGGAATACTAAACAATACTAGACGGATCAATGAAGAAACGAGAGATGGAGTTGGACTTGGAAAACTGTCTCTTGGGTCAAAATCATATCAAACGGGCTAACAAAATCCGATCCATGAGTTGGTGGGTCCAAGTCAAGTCGGCCCAATTGAATGTTTTTTGCCAATGCACGCATAAATGGAGTCACGCACTGGCACTACACATGGAAAAACGGTTTCGTTGATCGATAACGTCATCGAACAAGTGTTTTGGTGACATCCTTGAAAACATAATTTGTATTTAGGAAAGTAACTTACAAATGACTCGTGACTTAACCAAAAGTAAGGCTGTGTTATCGAAAAGGCGTTCTGGGATGTTAATCCGTCCCCGTGCATAACTGACTCTTGGACCTATGATCTCTAGATTGCCTTTGACCAATTCCTT